CCTGTGAGTGCCTATGTAAACTCTTGGAAAGGTCCAAAAATCCTAAGTTCACAAGACTCTTGGACCATATAAGCACAATATGCATCTACTGAAGAAATCCTGTGAACACCATCCCTACTCCAGATTTGTCCCATGCCCCAAGGGATTGGGCCAAAATCCCACCTGCCTCTGGAAATGAAGGAACAAATCACTGTTTTATTAATCATATTAAATAATTAATAATTAATCATAATAATACATATTAATCACATTATTATTTTCATCATATTAAAAGCCCCAGTGGTACTGGATTACCTTTCCAATGGAATTAATTTATTATCTACTCAGAAACAAAATTGTCTCTGGGAACTTGCAAAGGATAACAAAATATTTTATTTTAGAAAGTTTCAATATTTTCTAACCTTTGGCATTCAGTCTCAAACCCCTGAGCAGAGATTGCTATTACAGTAATAGCATAAGCACTGCCAGGGCCCAGAAGCATCTGGCAGACACCATCCCAGCCCAGTATGGGAAAGACAGAAATGATACTTGTAAGAGAAGAGGTTACAGTATCAGGAACAGACCCCAGGATAAAAAAGGAAAGGACCAAAAGTTTTATCTCTTGCCAGAAGGCCACCAGCTACTACTATTTGGGAGTTTCATAATCACTTCTTTCTCCTCTGGACTGAAATGCAAGATAGTCAATATGGCTGTAAGTGTCTGCTGGCGGCCCAAAGAGTCAGACAGGGTTAAGAAGCGGTAGATGATATTTTTTAAGTACTCCAGATTGGCCCCCTCCCTGCTTTGGTCCCTGATACTTTTTTCAATGTGGCTCTGCAAAGCACAGACTTGTTCTCGGTGCTGTTCACCCTCCACAATTAGCCTGTCCTGAAGTTGGTGTACCTCCGTCTCAAGTTTATGCTTTTGTTTCCTCAAAGATGTTATCTCAACCTCCTTTCGAGCTAGCTGTTCAGCATACAAGAAGAAAGTGGGTTCATTTGATGCAGCCAGGTGCAGGGCTTGGGTCAAACTGTCTGGAGACGAGTCACTTAGACCTTGGTTACTCCCCTGGCTCAAGGAGGCCTTATGTCCCTGCAGCCCAGAGCACAAAGCCACAGATCGGAGCTGCTCCAGTTCCAAGTCCTTCTCGGCAAGTACCGCTAGAGCACGGTCCCTCTGTTTGTGCAACTCTTCTTCAAGCTTCAGTGTCCGGTCCCGGAAGTCAAGCTGGCTTCTCTCCAGCTCCTGCCGATGGACCTGCTGCAGCTGAGCCAGCTCCTGCTTCCAGCTCTCTGCCTCTTGTCGGTGTTGCCGTTCTAGTTCTTCACAAGACAGCCGAAGGGAAATGTACTTCTCCTTCAGCTCTGCAAGCTGCTCCTGGCTTTCCTCCAGTTGCTTGGCTAGGTTGCCATCCTTGCTTGTCTTGCTCTTGAGGACAACCTGGGCCCTCATTTTGTACCTTTCAAACTCCTCTTTCAGCTGCTTGAGCTCTTGCTGGTAGTAGAGTGCAGTAGCCTTTTCCCCATCAGCAGCATCTGGGTTTGTCAGCATCTCTATTTCACACAGTTTTTCCATATTCAGAGATACCTGGCTCTTCCTGGCTGCAATCTGCAACAGCTTCCTCAGTCTCTCCATCTTATCCTTCAGGACATTGACATCCAGGCTGGTCTCCTCGTTGTGGCTGTCCAGGGGAGAACGACTAGAGGCTGCAAGAGCAAGTGTCTTATTCTCCATATCCAGCTGCAGAAGGCGATCCTTCAGCTTCTGAATGGCCAGCTGGTCCTTTTGCTTGGCTTTCTCATAGGTGCCCAGCAGCTCAGACACTTCTGAGACTTGGTTCTCTAGGGCAGCCACCCTCTGTTCCTCCATCTGAGAATGCTGACGGAGCTGCTCCTCGGCCAAAGCAGTCTAAAAACCAAGGCAATGAACAAAGGTGAATTAGGAGAGAGTGCACAGCTTGTCACTGAACCTAGGAAAGGCAGAGAAGAGAGGGGGCATTTGAATAGGATGTGCTGGCAGGAATGGGAAGAACTTTAGAGAACTTTTTCACTGATTCAAGTGCCAATAAAACTTACGATTATCCATTCCCATCCTACAACCGTGCCCTTACCCCTTGAAGACTCAGAATTTATCTCACCAAATAACATTAGGCTCATTTGATGTGACTTGACAAAAATCACATGGGCGCCAATACCATTACTAGATCAAGTCAAAACACATGCACTACAATTACTCCCTGAGGAGCACCATCTTCAGCTGAAGAAACTCAAAGTGAATCTTTCTCCATGAATCCTTCTCTGATCCACCCAGTTTGAAATTTTCTCTCCCTCCTCAAATTTTCCTATAACACTTTATCTAGATCTCTCCTTTGCCCTTCTCAAACACTATCTTGTATTTTATACTTATCTGTGTACATGTACTATTTCTTCCTGCCACCTCCTTCCCAGTAGAATATAAGTTCCTTGAGGCGTGGAATGTTTTTTTTTCCCCTTTATAATCCCATTGTCTGGCACAGTGCCTTAGCTCGTGATAGGCATGTAATGTTTGTTAAGTGTTCATGAGCATAGTGCTATTCTTTTAGTTCCTACATTTTTGTCACACATTTAGCATATTATGTCTATCACCCTTAATCCATTGTTTATCCCCAGAAACTGCATGCTACTGCATGCTACCCTTGCCTAGAAAGTTCAGAATTGAACAGGGGCCCTCATAAAATCCAAGAGTATTCTGGGATAGCACATTCATCTCCAAAACAAATCCTAATTGACAACAATTGAAGGAAACTGACTCTTTCTGAAAAAAATATCAACCACACACACAGAATACAGTACTTCACTGTTTTCCTGAACACAGCTGTTAAGAAACCAATGCCCAGAATCTGGAAGCACTTCAACTTCATTCCAGACAGCACCCACAAACAACACATCCTCTTAGAAGTATGCTTTGTAATTTTTGTAAACATCAATTAGGCCAGGATTTTCCAGTGGATTTGTCCATGAGAGATTTTGGGTAAGTACCACGAAAATACAGGAAGTGAAAGCATGAAGAGACCTTGAAGATAAATTTCGTCCAAACCTCTCATTTTGCAGAAGAAAATACTGAGTTCTTAAAAGATAAAACAACTTGCCTAAAGGTACAAACCTGATATATGGCACAGTGAGGATTTGAACTTTCATTACAAACCTTCTTTCAATTACAGTAGACTGTTCAAAAAGAAGAAAAAGTCTAATATCCTTAGTCTCACATTAAGTACCTATGGATCTGGATCAGAAAAGGTGAATTACCTTCCTCATTTCCTGCTGCAACTGGGTCTGGAAATGGCTCTTAAGGTGGGCAGCTTCTTCCTGAAGTTCTTCCAGCCGAGGGTCTGGATGACTCTTCTCCTCTCGAAGAGCCTGCAGCTCAAGCTTCAGGTCCTCCACTTCATGGGTCAACTGTTTGATCTGTAACTCAAACCCTTCCACCTGGTCAGCTGAATAGGCCTGTCCAGCCAGGGCTTCCCGGGTCTCCTCTAGCTGCAACTCAATATCCTGCCTTAAGGTTCTCTCTCCTTGCAGTAATTTCTGCAGCTCCCTCAGCATCAAAGCATGATCACTCTGCTCCTGGGCTCTGTCATGCTGCTGTGTGATCAACCTGGCTTTAGTCTCTGCCATCTGTTCCTGCAGCCCCTTTAGCTCCCCCTCCAGCCGGCTCCTTTCTCCCTCAGCCTTTCTGCTAGCATCCTCCAAATCTTGCTTCATCTTCTTTTTATCAGCCTGGTATGAGGCTTCCATGCGGGACTTCTCTTGAGTCACTGTGGCCAAAGAGCTGGTCAGAGTGGCCAACTGAGTCTTCAGTTGGTGCAACCGTTTGTCAATCTCCCCCCCACTACTGGTTGGCACATCCCCACTACTGGAACTAATGCCACTCTCCGACCCACTGGCTTCCTCACACTTTGGAGGTGGCGGACCAGTGGCCAGCCTTTCCTCTTCCACCCCGAGATCACCCTTGGTGCTGGTCAGACTGGCTGTTGTGTCCAGGCTGGTAGTAGTGCCAGTGCTGTCCTCACTATGAGTGGAGCACCGGTCATCAACAGCGTCGGCCAAGGGAAGGCCTGGGGACTGGACAGAAGTGAGGCCGGCATCATCAGCCTCATGGGACGCGGAGAGCACCTTGAGGCTGGCCTCCAGGGCCTCTTTCTCCTTCAGCAAGCTCTTATAGGCCCGAACGACGTCCTTAAGGCGGACCTGGTACTGGAGCAGCTGTTTCTTCTGTGTCTCTATGGTCTCCAGCAGGTCCTTCTTGCTAGGCCCCCCGCCGAAGTTCATGCCAAACTTCTCCATGGCAGGGGCTGCTCCGTGACGTCACCGCTCACGGAGCCGGGAGTGGGGAGGGGCTGGGGGGGG